GAGTCTATGGCGGAGTCCGCGGCGCGGGCCCTTACGCATTTTCGCAGCATGTTCTGTGACATGATTCATGACCTGGGTGACCGGTCCACTTTGTTTCTGCACACTAAAGCCGTTCCGAATCCGCGCGAAATGCGTACCCGAGCTATTGCGCGTAACGCTCCGAGCACACTCCAGCTGTACCTGCGTTCCTGGTCCGCCTGGGTCTTGCACGCTAGCCGCTCTGGCTTTGACCCGTCCGACCCGCCCCCGGGTGCCTTGCCACATTGGCTTCATGCAACATCTGCGCCGTCTGGGCTCTCAACCGTCTCGTTCAAAGCTCTGAGTTGGATGGCCCGCGTTGCCGGCTTACCCTCGGTTCAGGCTCAGCTGCATACCCCGTTGTGTACCGCCTTCCTGACCGCAACCGGCCCTGTCGAAAAGAGAGAGGCCCTTCCGTTTTCCGTGTCCTTTGTTGCGTGGTTGGAGCGCCGCGTCACGGACCCCAACACCGGCCCGACCGAGGTGATTGTGATCGGGGCCGTCTTGTGCACCATTTGGTCTTCGCTTCGTTGGAATGACGCCCTGTGGTCACCTCCGTCCCGCGTGGTCCTTCAGCCTGGTGTTGCTGCCCTGTCCGGCTTGGCAACTCGCACCAAGTCCTGCCGGGCTTCGATGCCCTGGGGCTGCCTTTTGTTTGGGTTGACTGGCTCGCCCTCGTGCTGCTGGGGCCTGTGTTGGCTTAACGCCCTCAAGCAGTGCTGTGCTAACACGTCCCGCCTCTTCTCGGGCCGTGTGGTGGATTTCTTGCTCCCTGTCCTTAGCGCTGACCCTGCGGCTCCGGTCTTTGTCGCCCCTCTCCACCGCTCTCGCGCTATGCCGTGGCTTCGGTCTTTGCTGGATGAACACTGGAGAACTAACACTGACACCGCCCCGCCTTCCGAACATGCCCTCTATGGCGTGCACAGTTGCAAGGCCACTGTCCTTTCCTGGGCCCGGCAGTTTAATTTGGATCCCGAAATGCGCAGGTTGCAAGGTCACCACCGC